GTGTGTGTGTGTGTGTGTGTGTGTGTGTGTGTGTGTGTGTGGGTTGATTCCAGGTGACATGTGAGGCCAACCACAAGAAAAGGAGACATGACTGAAGAAAAAAGGAAGGAGAAAAAGGAAGAAAGGTGAAGGCTAAAAGGCTTTCACATTAAAGCTTACTTCTCCAAAGGGGCAGGAAAATGAAGACAAAACAGAGCGAAACCCCGAGGTAACCCCAGAGACACAGAACCTCAAATGCTCACGCTATGAACTGTGCTGTTCAGAGAAATCAGGGTCCCTAAAAGGGGTTTTCATTCTCTAAGACTATATAATGAACCCCACATTCTTACAACTTTTTTAGTCACTCTCTAAGACTATATAATGGACCCCAAATTCTTACCATTTTTTTAAGAAGCTTGAAGCCAAATTCAAAGGTGAACAAGATAGCCTGCAGTTTTGTGGCCTATAACAGCTGTGTGGCAAGGCCATTTCTGGTCTATTGCCCATTTTAAAACAACAGGGTTTTCTTTTAAACTAAAAAAATATTTTGCACATTAAAAACATGTCCTAAAATGTGCTTCATGTACCCTAAAATGAGGCTGTACACAAACACTCAAGCAGCATTTACCTGTTGCTTCCTCGTCAAAGCAAGCGAAGGCATTTCTGATGACATCCTCGGGATCTGTGCCATTCAACTTCTCTCCAAACATGGTGAGGAACATGGTGAAGTTGATGGGGCCTGGGGCCTCATTCATCATGGCATCCAGGTAGGCGTCGGTGGGATTCTTGCCTGTAAGAGCACACATTCAAACAAAGGACAAGACCACTTCAATTGGATCATCTGGCTATTGTTCTGCTACCAAACATATTTTAAAAAGGTTTTCATTGCATTATTTTTCGTGTGTGCACTGTAACACGTGTGGAGGTCAGAGGACAACGGTTGAACCCACAGGCTTAAGACATAGGTATCTTTTCGTGCTGAGCCATCTTGCCAGCTTCTTCACCACTTATTGTTAATAACCAAAACCAACCAACAACAAAAAAACAAAAAACAAAAACCCCCAACCAACTAGCCATCAAACAAAACCCAAACAAAATCTGGAAAGTCTCAAGCTTTGATGCTATCACACATTGATTCTACATTGGCTCATCAGGGGTTGTTATTTTAATACCAGCTATTAAAAAAATCAACATTAATATTTCTAACTATGATATAGTTGCATGTGAATTGGTATGCTTAAAAATTACTTATAATTGGGGCTGGAGAGATGGCTCAGGGGTTAAGAGCACTGACTGTTCTTCCAGAAGTTCTGAGTTCAATTCCCAGCAACCACATGGTGGCTCACAACCATCTGTAATGAGATCTGGTGGCCTCTTCTGGCACGTACTGCATACACGATAAATAAATAAATCTAAAAACAAAACAAAACAAAAAACAAACAAACAAACAAAAAAACCAGAACCTGCCTGCTTTGGAAACCCGGGGCCATTCTCTTCCCAGGGAACAACCCCAACATGGTGGAATAAAAAAAAAAAAAAAAAAAAAATTATAACTATTAGGCCAGTTTGGGACTGGGAACTTCTTTTGAACAGCATTAAAGAAAGCACCGTCAGTCCCAAGTGCTTTGTCTACATGCAGCTGACCAGAGTCTTTTGCTTTGCTTTCTCTCTCTCTCTCTCTCTCTCTCTCTCTCTCTCTCTCTCTCTCTCTCTCTGGGGGGGGTCTCACTCTATAGCCCAGGTTGGCCTCAGATTCACAGCAAACCTCCTGTCTCATCCTCCTGCAAGCTGATGGATGAGCCACCATGACAGACTTGAACAGGGTTCTCAGTCTTGTTTGTAAAGAGAATCCTACATCTCAGCTCCTACTGAACATAACTCTTAGCGGCAGGAGAACTGCCTGACTGACAGTGAAGGGAACATCCACACAGCTCCCCACAGGAAAGGTCCTGAAAACCAGTTCACCAACTGGTTACGAGGCCTGGAAAAAGTGGGAGAACTGGAGCTTACACCCAGTGCTCCAGACACGGAGTTTAATGCCACCCAGTCCACACAGCCTCCCTTAATCTTAACCCATGAAAAGGACTAGTGAACATCCGTATCTGGAAGGAGCCGATACACATGGAAACGATGTGCTTAAGGAAGCATCTCAGAATTACACCACACTAAACACCGACGACACTCCAATCTATTTCACCCAATGGCAACTCTACCTCACTACACCTACTCAACCCACTGGTACTACATCAGTCACCAAACAAGTAAAACTAAAAACCTGCTTCCCCATTTGCAGATCAAACCCAACTCTCCTGCAGCATTCTAGGGGTAGAGGGCAGGGATGACTGATCCAAAGATTCAAGAGGTTCTCAGAGTGAAACAGGAATCTAAAATGGATCTTTTAAAAAATGTGTGTGTAGCTGGGTGGTGGTGGCAGCGTACACCTTTAATGCTAGCACTAGGGAAGCAGAGGCAGGCCTGGTTTACAGAGTGAGTTCCAGACTACACAGAGAAACCCTGTCTCAAAAACCCAAAAGCATATGTGTATGTGTTCATGTCTGTTGGCGGTGCACACATGCACGTGTGTGCCCCAGTGCTGTGGGGCACATGAGGGAGACAGAGAACAATGTCCAGGAGCCAGGTCTCTCCATCCTGGGGCTCACACCGACGGCACCTCGCTTGGCAGCACGCACCTTTACCCACTGAGCCACCTCATCAGACACGTCTATGTTTTTTTTGGGGAAAAAAAATTCAATCTCTTTCTTTTTAAATTATAAAAATATCACTGTGGAAGTCTCTTTTCTGGGGGTCCATTTTTGAGTAACAGTGCCCTTCCTTCCCAGGAAACCATTATTAGTGATAAAGTGTCACCTCTTTGCTCATTTGTTCATGACTTGTCTTCCAGCCACAGATATTACCCACAGTATATTATTAGCTGCATTTGTTACTGAGAACTCTGAGTTTTTGCACATAGCCACCAGCATGCACGCACGCACGCACGCACACACACACACACACAGACACACACACACACACACACACACACCCTCCATGCTCACACAGACGCAATAACTTAGCTAATAGGAACAGTACCCGCTAGATCCCCCCCTGCAGCTGATCCCCCTCACGACAGCTGAAAGTTTCTCAAAGGCTGTTTGGACGAGAACTGAACCACGAAACGAATGATTCGGAGGTGGACTGCCATCAGGGAGAATACACATAAAGGCTAGCTTACCTAGAGAAGCCAGCATGTCATGCAAGTCCTCCTTGTCAATGAAGCCATCCCGGTTCTGGTCGATCATGTTGAAGGCCTCTTTGAACTCCTGGATCTGGGACTGGTCAAACATGGCGAACACATTGGATGTTGCACGCTGAGGGCGCTTCTTGGTGGTCTTGGTCTTGGCCTTTTTGCTCGACATGGTGGTGGTTTAAATCTGGAATTGAATGAAAAGAAAATACATAATACTCCAGGGGAAGCAGAAAGGATATGTGATAGGTAGGGTTTTAATTAGGGGTGGCAGGGGAGGACGGGAGGGACAAGGGAACTGGGATTGTCATGTGAAACAATCTTGTTTCTAATTCAAATTTTAAAAAAGAAAATACAAAATACATAAAGCAAAAAAGTACACACACAATACACACACACACCTAGTTAGTTAATAAAAATATCTTTCTTAAAACAGAGTCTCCTCATGTAGCCCAGGGTGGCCTGGACTCACTCTGTAGACCAGGCTGGACTCCAACCTGGAGATCACTCTCCTCTGCCTCCCAAATATTGGGATTAAATGTATATTCCACTACTGCCCAACTCCCATGAATAATTTTTTTTACCATTGGAGTTTATAGAAACACACATAACAGGGTCTGGTGAGATGGCTCAGTGGTTAAGAGCACTGGCTGCTCTTCCAGAGGATCTGGGTTCAATTCCCAGCACCCACATGTTACCTCACAACTGTCTATAGTTCCAGAGCATCCAACACCCTCACACAGACATGCAGGCAAAACACCAATGCATATAAAATAAAATAAACCATAAAAAGATACATCAATCAATGGGAGCTGAGTACTATGCACCTAGCCCTTCTTTGATGGCACAGGGCGCCTCACACAAACCTCTTACCCTTGCTAGGTTCAATTTTCCCATTTATCCCTCACAAGGACCAAATGTGATCAGTACTTTTCTTATTATTTCCACTTTACTATCGATATGAAATCACCTTTCAGAACCCCAGTTTTTCACCATCAAAATCTACTATTACAAAGCATGGTGTGAACTAAGTAGGTACTGTACAAGGATGGGCAGATATGGTGCTCACCTTTAAAATACATCATCCAGACCCAACTTCCTCTTGCAGGCTTCCCAGCTACCCCTGTATTCACCTCATTGGACAATTCTCAATATCAGTTAGTAGTCAACTGCTCCCACGTCATTGTCTTCCCAATCATTTCTAAGCCTCCACAAATGGCTTTAGTGTTACCCTCCAACCCTCTACAGCCAGCCATCAGCAATTAAACTGTTAAACACAATGCTAGTTCCCATTTTTTTTTTTTTAATAGGGTCTTGTGTAGTTCAAGCTGGTACTGAATTCACTGCAGCCGAGGATGACTGCAAACTCCTGGTCCTCCCACCTGTCTCTTGAGTGCTGGGATTATAGGCTCTAGCTGCATTTTAAGCAATGTAAATACCTGCATGGCAATGCTTTGGTCATCTGACAGACAGCATGTGCACTGGTATATACCATACAGTCCTGGCCTGCAGCAAGTTATTCTATCTGGTTTGTGTGAGTAAACCCTATGGTGTTTGCAGAGAATTGAGACTGATTAGCAAAGGGATTCTCAGAATATGTCCCCAGTACTAGACAATGCCCAACTGCACATAAGACACAATACTATCAGCTCTGACTTAGAAGTTCAAACGTAAGCCATGAAACTAACTATACATAACTTGGAAATCTCACAAATATCAGGCCACTTTTCAAAAAATATTTTTGAGTTTTTATTATTTTTACATGTAGAGTTTACCTTCATGTAGTTTTTGCACATGTATGCAGTGCCCATGGAGGCCAGAAGAGGGCACTGGGTCCTCTGGGACTGGAGTTACAGACTGATGTGTGTCACTATGCAGTGCTGGGAACTGAACTCAGGTCCTCTAAAAGAGTAGCTGGTGCCAAAAGCCAATAAGCCGTCTCTCCAGACCCTCAGGCCAACTTTTACAAATATTATTATTATTTTAAAAAATTATGTGTGTTTTGCCTGATGTAGTTGGTGTACTGCATGTGTGCAGTGTCCAAGGAGGCCCAAAGATGATGTCTGAAAATGCAGGTGAGTGTATGGAATTTCAGAAACTCTCTCTCCTTCCACTGTGGGATCTAGGATCAAACTCAGGTTGCCAGGCTCGAACAGCAAGTGCTTCTTACCCACTGAGTAATCTCACCTGCCCATGGCAACTCTTTGATCTAGTGTTTTATTATGCCTCTACAAGTGCCCTATGAGATAGGTACTGCCTAGGTTAAAATAAAATCAATGTCTCTGGGTATTAAATAATTCAAGATTGTTGAGAGGGATGTCCTACCCAATATTTACTCTCTTAGGTCACACCTAACTATGAGTTACAATGGGAGATTTTTGTTCATATGGCATCAGCTTGACTTCTGACAGGGCTGGACACCCAGACATGTGGGAGTTGAGTATACCTCCACAACAAAGCCCTGATTTCCCTGATTGGCACTATTCTGCATACTGTGGCACATTACTGCTAGTAGGAGCTGACACTGTCCATGACTTCACTGGGCCAGACAACTGAAGCTGTGTTAGGAACCTTCCTGGATTTGCCCTGCAGGGAGAACCACAGCTCTCAGCTGAGTTCCGAGAGAGTCCTAACAAATCATGAAAATGTAGCACGGTCCCTGGACACCTAAACTTAAAACTGGTGTGAGAAGCGAAGACTGTATAGGGTACAGTTCCCCATCTGCAGCCCCATGGTTAGTACAGATGGACAACTCGCTGTCTTAGGGCTTCTATTGTGATAAAACACAATGAACAAAAGCAGTTTAGGAAGGAAAGGATTTATTTTATCTTACAAGTCTCAGGGAAGTCAGGGCAGGAACTCAAGGCAGAACCTGAGGCCCAGACCATGGAGGAGTGCCGCTTACTGGCTCGTTTCTCATAGTTTGCTGAGCCTGCTTTCTTATACAACCCAGGACCACCCACAGTGAGCTGGGCCTCCCACATTAATAAAAACAACACTTCACAGACTGGACTACAGGCCAATCTGATGAAGGCATTTTCTCAATTAAGATTTCCTCTTTCCAGATTATGTCTAGGTTTGTGTCAAGTTGATAAAAACCAACCAGCACTCTAGCCACGTTAGTGTCAACAAAGGAGTTTGGGCTTTGGAATTTCTATTCAGTGTTTATTCTCTTCCATCAACAGAAAACATGCTCCCAAAGTGTACAGATGTTTCCTTTAGTACAGTTTTGAAGTACTCTAGCTCCACAGCCCTGACTCTCAACATTCCAACACCTTGCCTTCCTCACATATCTGTCCCGAATACATGTTAATTTCCTTCTCCTGCCTGTAACTTAGCTTGATATTGGACTGTAGTTAACGAAAGTTAACTATATTGAAAGTTAAACGAAAAGCAGAATTCAGTAACTATTGAGGCATTCCTTTCACTTTCCTTCTTTTCTTTCTTTTTATTTTTCTGGCTGCTGCTGAGGTAGTGGCCTTGTTTTAGGATTACAATTTGGTGACAAAATATCATAACCAAAAGCGAAAGGTGGTACAGAGTTCTCCATCTTTCTGCCTCCCCAGTGCTGGAATTATGGCATGGACCACACCTGGCTCTTATGTAGAATATTTTTAAAGTCTCCAAGCCAGTCTCCACCTCTTGGTTGCATCAAAATTCCCATACATGGCTTAAAGTACTTGACTTTCCCTGGATGATCTCATCCACTCTCACTGTTCTGGCTCCAAGGCCTACACCTCCTCCAGGCCTGCACTTTACCTTGAGCTTCAGGGTCATATCCAACTGCTGAGGAAACACCAACACACCCATCCCGACATCCCATATCAACAAGCTGAAAACGGAGTCCATTATCCTCCTTCTTAACTTTCCCAGTCTAACCACTCACCCAGCCAAGAAGCCAGGTCATCCTCCACAAATCCCTCAGATGGGCTCATTTTCCTCATTTCTGTCACCACAGAGAGGCCCATCTTCTTCAGTCACGTGGACTTAATTCTGGCTCGAGACAGACAACCTCACATTCCTGATCTCACCTCTCCAGTGGGGGTATCAAAGGATGCATTACCATACCTGCATTTTTTAATTTTTTTTTTTTTTTTTATTTGTGTGTGCCCACACATGCATATGGCTGTCAGAAGACAAGGTGTGAGAACCGGTTTCCTCGCACCAAATGGGTTTGGGGATCAAACACAGGCTGCTAGACTCAGCAGAAACGGTCTTTACGCACTGAGACATTTCTTCAGCCCTATATATACCTAGTGTGTGTGTGTGTGTGTGTGTGTGTGTGTGTGTGTGTGTGTGTGTATCCCCAAGAGAAAAGGTTTATGACACCTTGCATTAAATGAAATTGCCTGCCTTCCAAATGATGCAGACCAGACATTAGAGAACTCCCCAGGTCAGCCATACTCAAACCCCATTGGAGTAATTTCCACGTACATACTCCCTACGCCATGCTAACCTCTCTTCTGGTTACTCACTCAGAACCTTCAAAGTTGCCGACAGAGACAAATATGGATTTCTGAGCAGCACTTCTCCTCTATGCTCAGATCACAGACAAGCAGAATTTTCATATAAATCCAAACATGGATATTAGGACTGCACGGTGAGCAACTAACAGGTGGAAGGCAGACCCTGGGATATGGGGTGTAGCAGCTCAGACTGGGTTAGTAAGTGGCAATATCTCCTAATAGCCATGATTTAACAGAGAAACCTTTGTGCTCAATTATCAAAGTGTCTTGTGGTTGGGGGGAAGGGGGACCCACTTAACCCAACCCTCTACCCTTTAGACTACAGTCATAGATGAAAATATTCACAACAGGGGGCTGGAGTGGCTCAGTGGTTGAGAGCACTAACTGCTCTTCCAGAGGATCCAGGTTTAATTCCCAGCACCCACATGGCAGCTAATTACTGTCTGTACCTCCAAGATCTGACAACCTCACACAGATACACATGCAGGCAAAACACCGATGCACATAAAAATAAATAATTAGAAAAGAAAATATTCACAATAAAACACAGTCCAGAATGTAAACTACCAATAAAAACAAAATGCATTTCCTTTTCAAACATTTTACTATTTCTCTACATTCCTAATGTAGTGAACTAAGGGGTGCTTGCACTCTCAGGTCACACCCTGGGCAGGGGTGCAGGAAGCTAGCCATGTGCAAGGGTGCAGGAAGCAGGCTAGACCACAGGCAGGGTGCAAGAAGCT